CTCTGTTGCCCAGGCTGGAGTGCAGTGGTATGATCTCAGCTTACTGCAGCCTCCACCTCCTGGGCTCAAGCAATTCTCCTGCCTCAGCCTCCCAAGTAGCTGGGATTACAGGCGTGTGCCACCAAGCTCAGCTAATTTTTTTAATTTTTAGAGGAAATCCGCCTACCTCAGCCTCCCAAAATGCTGGGATTACAGGTGTGAGCCACAGTACCAGCCAAGGTGATATTTCAATACATATGTACATTGTATAATGAATGATCAAATCAATTCAGTTCAAACACTTGTCATTTCTCTTTGTGGTGAGAACATTCAAAATACTCTTTCTGGCTATTTTGAAGTATACATTACATTACTGTGCATTGTAGTCACCCAGCTGTGAATGAAATAGAACACTAGAATTTATTCCTCTTGTCTAACTGAAACTTTGTGCCTGTTGACCAACCTCTCTCCTTCCCACTGCCCCTCTAACGGCTGTGTTCTCAGTCCCTGGTTACCAGTCTTCTATTTGCTCCTTGTATGTGATCAACTTTTTTTTTTTTTTTTAAGACACAGGTCTTGCTCTATTGCCAGGCTGGAGTGCAGTGGCATGATCTCAGTTCACTGCAATCTCCTCCTCTCAGGTTCAAGCCATTCTCCTGCCTCAGCCTCCTGAGTAGCTGAGATTACAGGCTCATACCACCACACCCAGCTAATTTTTGTATTTTTAGTAGAGACAGGGTTTCACCATGTTGACTAGGATGGTTTTGATCTCCTGACCTTGTGATTTGCCCACCTCGGCCTCCCAAAGTGCTGGGATTACAGGCATGAGCCACTGCGCCCGGCCAAGATCAACTTTTTTAGATTGTGCATATGAGTGAGATCATGCAGTATTTGTCTGCAAACACATTTATAATGTATAATGGGGTATACAGAAATAAAAAAGACTTGGCCTCCACTCTCTTTTTTTTTTTTTTTCTTCACTATTTCCAGTAATGGCTATAAGCAAGGCCTCCACACTCGAGGACTATAAAGCAGGAGAACAGGGAGGCATAATAAGAGAATGGCCTTGGCTCTTCCTAAAGTCTTTCCAATACAACTAGCTAGATAGAAGATGAAGAGATAGATGCACCTTATTTCTCTAGTGTTTACACTGATAAGCATTTGTATTTTTCAGTAATGGCAATGCAGATGCAGCTTGAAGCAAATGCAGATACTTCAGTGGAAGAAGAAAGCTTTGGCCCACAACCTGTTTCACGGTTAGAGGTATGTGCTGAGTTGCTAATTTTGGAATTATATACTAGATTCTTCTATCTAGAGGAAAGTATTACAATCTTTACATAAACTATAGGTTTACTACCAAGATCAAGACCCAGATTAGACTTTTCAGAAATGTTGTCAAGAATCTTGTGGAAAAGCTGAAGATTCTTGCTAAATATGTCCAACAGGGCGTCTTCCTTTGTTAACAATTCTCTTCCTACTTTATCATTTTTATTTTTGAGAGCTGGACTGTCAGCAACTAAGGCCTAGGATCCCATGGTGGAATCTCTGTGCTGTTTTTTGGTTTGTTTTTAAGAAATGGGTCTTACTGTGTTGGCCAGGTTGGTCTTGAACTCCTAGCCTCAACCTCCCAAAGTACTAGGATTACAGGCATGAGCCATCATGCCTGGCCAAAGCATCCTGTGCTATTTGCGCTAAGTATGAAAGTGCTGTGCTCACTTTGACAGCACATATACTAGAATTGGAACCAAGCAGAGAAGATTAGCATGGTCCCCGCACAAGGATGACATGCAAATTTGTGAAACAGTCAGTATTTAAAAAAAAAAAAAAAAGAAAGTGCTGTTCCGGGAATTACAGTGGCCTGGACCAGTTGTGCAAGGAAGAGAGGGGAGGACCATCTCTTCATTGATCTAGATTATGCTGTGAGCTGTCATTGGCAGGGAGAAGGGTATGGGGTTGTTATAGTATAAGAGACAAGCTCCAATTCAGGATTCTGCACAAGAACATTAAGCACCAGAGCTGAGGCCTTACTCTGTTTCTGCCCATTACATAGAGAATGCCCTGTGAGTGCAGCTGCTTCGGGCTGAGATAGGTAGGGGGGAAAGCAGAGAAAGACTTGATTCTTCTCTTTATGCATATTTCCCATCGCCAACTAATCTTCAAGACTCTAGAAGTTAGGAGTGCAAAAGGCTTATTTAAAAAAAAAATTCAAGAATTTCCTTAAATTGATTTGTGATAAACATTTGAAAGTTCAGAGTCATAACTTTTGGTGCCATGAACGTCCTTATACTAACACATGCATATTGCTTATCGCCTAAATATTCATAGCAGACATGGCTTCTGTTGGCAAGCTTTCCTCTTGTAAATTCTCCCAAACCCCAAATACATCCACATTTCCCTACTAACTCATGTTCTCTCACAAATTATGGTTTTGGTGGCGAATGAAACCAAAGCTGACTTGAATATAGGAAGAAAGAGGTATCTTTGGTGGTTTGTTTTGAGAAGTGGTATAAAAGTCTCTGACAAAAAGTAGTTTTCCTCACTCTTATTTTATTTTTATTTTTTAAAGATGGCGTTTCTCCATGATGGCCAGGCTGGTCTTGAACCCCTGATCTCAGGTGATCCACCCACCTCGGTCCCAAAGTGCTAGGATTACAGG